TTTTAACGTAAAACAGTTCGGGAAAACGGAATTTGCTGTCCAATTTGTTAAAAAGTCAAAGATGAAAAAGTTACACACGCAAAGTACCAAGGGCCCCCCCGTACCCACCCCAATGGACCTTGTGGAAATAAATGGATTAGTCCATCAAATTGCTCATCAAAATTTAGCTGTGTATACCAAATTTCATTCATTTATCACAACGCGATTGAGAGATATTGCAAAAAAATGATTTCCATTCCTCCCTCTTCAATGGGTCCCTGTGCCCTTAGGAAGCATTTCCGGACCCATGTTCATATGAACTTTTTTACTTAGTTTTGATCATAGAATCGGCCTGTTCAGGGTTGGCGGCTAATTATGAGACACCCTGTATAATATTCGAGATCAAATATTCAAGCCCAGTTTTTAATAAATTATTTTCTTTTGTCCCCAGAATGTTTGGTGTAGGTATTCTTTTTCTCTTGTTTTGAAGTAAAAAATGCCTATTATTCATTTAAGGATTTCGTGAAAACATAATACAAGATCTAAAGTAAATGGTATTCCGCTGAAACAAGAAAGCTTTTGATGGAAATGCCAGATATTGTGCAACAGAAACAACTTGATTTAAGAAGCCTTATGTTATTGGAAATATACTTAAGGCTGAAGCTATGAGAGGAATGTTTTTCCGCGCTTGGACATCTAGTCCTGTTTCTCAGCTGTAAACTTATTCCCATACATTGTTCAAGATAAATATGTACGAGGAGAACTTTAATAAGGCTATAAATCTTGATGTTTACAAAAAAATATTGAAATCTGAGTCGGGTTTCCTCGTAGATATATTATCTCGATTGTGCAATAAATTGACTCAGAATAATTAATTTTTAACTTCTTTTGATTACATACACTGACGAAAAAATAACAGAAACTTACATCATTTTTTCTTTGGCGTCTTCAAAACTCTCAGCGACGAAGTACACGGGCTGGTATTCGGTGATGGGGTACTTCTGCAAAGCTGTTTTGGCGGGTTCGAAAGGTCTTATTTCAGCTTTTTCTTCCAGAGCATACTGCAATTCTCCATAAGAGGATAAAAGTCCTGCCCCATAAGCCTTCAATTTACCGTGTTCTCTACACAAACCGTATTCGACGGTAAACCAAAAGCACTGAAATAAAAACAATTAAAATGTATGCTCTGCTGCATTAAGCATTAACAAAGCCGAGCAGATGTAAAATTGCGAGACAAAAAAGACACTTTTAATGCGAATAAAACATGTTATTTTTTCTCCAACCGAAATCCTCCATTTATTAATTTGTGCTTTGAAATTATTCAAATCAAAGGATAATAAAGCAAAGTAGGTAAGTAGGATATCGATGTAGTCATATATACTTTGTCAAACGCTCGTAGCCATATTTCTAAATGAGTTGGTTTGTGATTGTTTATGGTTCGATTTGCTGAAAACTCTGTAAAAATGGAATCTAATAAAGATTTAGGTGTACCTGAGGAGATACTGGAGTGTACGAAAGACGTTTCTTTGAATCTTCTCCCAAAGAAATTTATAGAAATTTATTAATGTGTCTACCAAGGTTTTATGGACTGGTGCAAAGAAAAAACATTAAGTTGCATTCAGAGGATGTATTGATAATGTATTTCTCAAACTTAGTAAATAAAATGAACGCTTTGGTCACAATATTCAATGTTAATATAAGCAAATATTCAAAGTTACGTGCTTTTCTCAAGAGACAAAATGAGGGATATGTACCGAAAAAATCGAGAGTATTTACAAAGGAGCAAGTTGTTTAATTTTTGAATAGTGCACCAGATAATTTATATTTGATGATGAAGGTAAATGCTTTAAAAATCAAAGAACAGAATTTTTGAAAGGCTTGTCCTAAAATTGGGGGTTGCAAACGCATGCCGTTCTGATGAATTAGTCAATTTAACAATTGATAATGTTGAAGATGTGAAATCCGCCTAAATTATAAAAATCCCAATACCAAAACTAAGAGACCATGTTCTTTTACTGAGAGACAATTATTTAAATTTTTATCCATCCGGATTGGTACAACGTCGATTATTTCTCAGATATGTTACTGGAAAGTATCATCGAAGGGCGGTCGATATTTATAAAATCAGTGCCCTCTCGCAAGAAGTGGCAAAATTTTTGAAGCTGGACAACTGGAAAGAGTACAGTAGACACGCATTACGACAAACGTCTGCTATCTTTTTAGTTGACGGCGATTGTGACCTAACTTGTCTTAAAATATGCGGAAGATGGAGATCGAGCACTGTGGCGGAAGGATACATTGAAGACTCACTTTTGAATAAAGAAAATATTGTGAAAAAAATACTGAAAGTTGATAGTGGTTGGTAAATCAGGCACCGTTGTCATTTCAGATTTCATAACAGAAAACGTGTTGGACTGCTCTGCGAATTTCTCCAAGAATGAGGGTAGTGGCAGTTTCAGTGGTTTATTTCATTTTAATATTATATAGTTCAAACTGTGTATTTAATATCAATGTGAATAAACAAAAATTATTGTAAATATTGTTGAATAAACTTTTATAAATTCAAGGGATTAAAAGCGTCAACTTTAGCTCCTAGGATTAAAAGTGAATACTTTTGTTGTTATCATCTTTTTTTTCTCAATATGGAAAATGTCAACCTTAGAGACTTTTGGCAGTCAAAAAATGTCATAGTTTTGTGACGATTGGAGAAAAACTTAATTTGCCGCCTCTATTTTTTTTAAATATTGAGTGGTTACTAACCCATGAGTACACAAGAGCAGCTTAAAATTGTGTTGAAAATTTATTTATTTATTAGAATTTTCACTTACAGTTGCTAATTTTTCTATATATTCATCTGGGGCGCCTAGAGATGCTAGTCCAATTTCCTGTGAGAACTGGGCAAACTCTGGATCGGCGAACAGGGGTACGTGCCCCAAAAGTTCATGGCAGACATCTGGTTCGGGGGTGTAGTAGGGTTTGCTCGGGTGCCTGATATACTGAGTGGAGTGGAAAACCCTAAACGCTAAGCCAGCCAAAAAATCACGAGATGACAGCAGACCAGCCACAGGCCTCAGTGTAAATCCAGTGCAGTCTGAAAATAATATACGTACTTTATTTTTATTTTTTTATAAACAAAATAATTTTAAAATAAAGGCAATAAATAGCTCGATCTTTTTATTTCACGGGAAAATAATGTCAAAATGGGGGAATAATGACATTTTTACTGGAATATTCAGAATTTGTAATTTTCTTCACTTTTACACTGTCCATTATGCTATTTCTTATTACAACTATCAATAATGGCGGTTAGTAGCTTTAGTGTATATCTACACTTACAATTAGTGCACAGAATTTAAAAAATACAACTACGTTGACGATGTCTACCTCTTTCACAAATCGTAAGTTGGAATATTTGTCACAATTAAATAATTAATTGTGTATTTACCATTACAGTTAGAAAAATAGATCTAATGTACAAATTTCTTGATAAGGTAATTCAAAATTAAAGTTTTATAGTTCTATTTTTACAGAAAATGATCGAACAACAAAGATTGAGGGAATACGTACTACCGAAAAATTGAACTATAAATATCGCTATTCAATTTATAATTAATTATATTTCTAAGAAAATTAAAATGTCAAATGTATGATTTTATACAGGGTATTTCTTAAGTAGAGGTAAAAAATCCAAGGGCGTATTCTGTGACCAAAAATAAGGATTTTTTGTTATATAAATGTGCGGGATCTTAAGACAGCCAGTCCAGCTACAGCGTGTTAAAATTTAAAAAAATAGTTTTTCTAAACCACTTGAGATAATTTAACCAAATTCGGTGTGCATATTCAGTATGACATAAACCACATTCGTTCTCTTAGCGCATAGAGAACATCGTCAAGTAATTCACGTAAAATGTCTATAGGAGGCATCAGTTAAAGTTCTTGGTAAAAAGTAAGGCCTAACAAGAAAATTTGCAATGATACCCGCCCATACATTCAAAGATAACTGATGTTGAAATCGAGATTCCATTATGGCATGAGGGTTTTCATCAGACTAAACATGTATATTGTGGAAGTTCTTTATAGCACCTTCGGTAAACAATATGCCAGCGGTAAAGTCGACATTTTCTTCAATTTTTTGCAAAATCCAGTGGCAAATTATATGCAAGCAGGATAGTCTTGCGGCAGTAAGGCTTGAACCCTTTATGTGTGATACGGGTATAATTATTGATGCTTCTGAACGGACCAAACTAATTTATGATTCACATTAAGATTTGCAGCAGCTTTTCTAATACTAGTATTTGGTTTTCTCCAATTTCGTGTAGAATAGCTTCTTTCAACTCAAGCGTTCTAACACCCAAAGGTCTTCCAGAAATTGGACCTCTCTGAAATGAACCCCAGAAAGACGTTGAAAAACATTTCTGAACATTTTTGGTTTTGGAGTTGGATGAATTGGAAATCTTTCCGTATAAATTCGCCGAGTCTCAGTACCATTTCCATATGCAAGGCCATAAATGTAAACCATATTGGCCATTTCATCATTTTAATATGCATAAGCCATTATTAAAACTTAATCTTTTTAAAAAATAAGCTTAATTTGACAATTCACAATATTAAATAAGATAACGGCTTCTTATTATTATTCTGCATGGCCTCCCTAAGATAAGTTTAAGTAATTTAAGTAACTGTTTTTGGCAACTAATGATGGATGATACCCACACCTCCGCGACTGGTAAGTTTCCAGAGCTGGTAATTTTTTGTTTCATACCTACTGTCATACTAAATATGCACATCGAATTTGGTTAAATTATCTCAAGCGGTTTAGAAATTAAAAATTAAAAACTGATTTTTTTTTATTTTTTGACACGCTGTAGCTGGACAATGGCTGACCTAAGACCCCACATTTGTATAACAAAAATATATTTAACCACAGAATACGCCCCTGGATTTTTGACCTCTACTTAAGAAACACCCTGTATACAATTAACTAACTATATTTGTACGAACGTTTAAATATTTAAAAAACTGAAATAAACTGATATTTTGACTAAAAAAATTATTTTATTCTTTATATTTTAATTCATTTTGAATTAGATTGAACATCCTTAGTAAAAAATCCAAAATATACTATAACTGAATTACAGGTTTTGCAACAAACTACTTTACTAAGAGGATGTTTTAGGTACGCAAATTAGTATTATTTATTGTTAGGTTTTCCAGCTATCAATAAATTTTGTATATCTACATAAATATGGATATTGCATCAGCCGAAATAAGCATAATTAATTTATTTAGGTTCTTATTCCTACGTCAATTCCTTTTACTTTGAATTTGTGTGCGATTAATATTTCATTGCTACTTTTTTATTTGTTAAATGATATAATTAAATTTTATCCAAACTTAGTTACTTTTTGGACAACAAATCATTTCAAATCTACTGTTTATGGTCTGGAATTTTGAAATATTCACAACACGATAAATGTTTAAATAAACATAATGAAAATTGACATGTTTCTGTTAATAATAGTACCATTAAAAACAATCAAAACTCAGGGAGATATAATAAATTAATGATTATAATGTTTTTACTTTTCATACTTTTTTAATCAATACTTTTATTTAACTAACCTTTTCTTTTCTTCGATTTTCTTACCTCTTAAGAAATTTGAGATATCTTCTAATTGAGGTATATTGTCTTCACGGTAACCACAGTTTTCAATAAGTAATGGAAATACGTGATTGTGCTCCTTACAAGCATGAGTAGGGTATAATGTCGTTAGTTGCTTATAAACTTTGCCCCAAGTTTCAGTCTCTTCTTCAGTGTAATTAACGTGTGGAAGCTTTTGACCGTGTCTGAAAATGAGGTTTATTAAATTTATGATATAACATTTATTTGATATAAATACTAAAAAACGTCGTAATGTTTGACTTTTAAAATTGTCGACAGGGAATATAAAAAAGAACTGCAAGGAATAACGACATTTTGACAAACTTCCAGGACTGAGTTTTGTTGTTTGAACAAACAAGAAAAAAAAACAATGCTTCAGAGGTTGAAAGTAAAACATCAAGGTGTATTTTAAACTTGGTGTTGTACAATCCCTTCATAGCAGTTGCCTATATTTAAATGAAACATTTATCATCAGCAACAGCACGAATTTGAAGTTTGATTTAGATATAAAAGCCGCACGTAATGTCTTATCTAATGTAAAAGATAAGTAATAATATACATTGCAAAGAACATAATAATCCGATAATTTTTTGTTAAACAATTAAAAAACATGTTGATATTGAAGCATTAAGATCTATAGGTCAAAATTAGCATAATACATCAATTTTCACCAGATAAAAGACCAGAATTGAACGAACTGCCTGATTTAGTCTTTCCGATCTCAATTGAAGAACCAAGAAGTTGGCACTATGTACCAGGTTCGGTCGCTGACGCAGCAACTCGGCATTGAAATATTTGAAAAACTTGTTCCCATATTTATTTAGCCATATCCATATACAGGTCTGGTCGAACTAAACGTAGAGGTAGTAGAAATGTATATGCCCAGTAGAAAAATGCGCGGCGACTGGGCAATAAATCTCACTTGTTGACAAGTGGTTGACAAATTGCCTACCAGTGCAGTGCAGCAATGCGGAATTTGGTGCGATTCGGGTAATTTTAATTTATTATAGGCACCTTCTATTAATTATTCATATTACAATTGCAAAAGGAAGAAATAAGAGGGATATTTTGTTTACTAATATTATTACAACATGGCATTTTGGAGACTTTTTGAAACGGAACAAAACGAAATTTACCGTCAATATAATAAAATTGTTTGAGGACATAAATAATTAAAATGTGTTGTTGGTGAAATGAACATATAATAGAAATTTTCTACAAATTATAATTTTTTACCATTAGCAGAAAACTTTTTTAGGGACGCCTATGAAACTCATTAAATTTTATTGTTAGGCGTTTTTATACATGTTCAACTGACTTCGGAAAGACTATACTAAACAATGTATTCTAAAAATGAAAACACAATCAATAAGATCCTTGCGAAAAACAAAACTGCTGCAGATTCCATGATATATTTTCTAAAAAGGTTATCTATTTTTAGACCATGGTTAAAGATGTATAAAAACATTTTTATTGGGAACATATAGGGAAAAAGTTTCCAAATAAAATGTAGAAAGATTAAAGGCTAGACATGTGATGAAATTAGCAGTGGCAAGTATCTAACAAACGATAGATGTGAGTTATCTTGCATGGCCTTCTTTGTCGTGTAAGATGATCGTTATTGCCTAAGAAATTTGGATTTGCAACATGAGTTCGTGGCGGAGACATCGAACCAGGGGTTCGAGCCCCACTTTGGGCGCCATATCGTCAACTATGACCGTTATTATGTGTTTCAGTGACCTGAGCTCGCGGCGGAGACATCGAAACAGAGCTTCGAGCCCCACTTTGGGCGCCAGGTCGTGTTATATATCATATGGCCTACAGACGTGGTGTCTAGGACACGAGCTCGTGGAGGAGATCTCGACGACGATGTTCGACCCCCACGTCAAGCGCCGTGTCGGGTTAGACTTTCTAGATATGGACCACTTAGGCGGTGACCGAATGTTCGGGGGAAATCATGAGAGCGGATGGGCGATGTACCAGAATTGCTTAGGTGAAAAGAGCCGGCACGTCACCTTCGACATAGTCGGCTAAGGGGTTTTCGCATGGGATGGCACCCGAACGAGATGCGCATTGCTCCCGCTGAGTACCATTTTGTAGAAATGCTGATTGTACTGGATCGTCCGTGCCAACGGTTCCATAGAATAATATTTGTTACAATATGCTGTGTCGGTCAGACGCGCTATGTACTTCCACTAATGAACTGCAGATGCCGGAAGTTGACGTTCGATCGCTTTCCTCGGGTCTCCATACTTTTAACGGGACGCTCGTGAATCGTCCGCCAAAATCTCCACCAAAAAGCACTCGTCGTCGACGTCGGATCTCGTTCCCCTCTGGCCTCTCCGGATAGTTGATGTCGGCAACGGGGATTTTGGAGTTTTTTCCATTTCGCAAAAAACTCTACCCTCAGTCTCGGCTTAGGCTACCGACCATCGCATCCAACCGCCAAAGCGGTGGAACCCTCGAAAGACGGTCCTTTCGGCCCAAAGACGGGGAAATTGGAAAGTGTGGTGAAATTTTCCCCGTCTTCGTAAAAGGGCTTACGGAGGTCTTTGTACTGGATGGATCTGATTCAGAAGTGGACTGGTGATGCACGGCACGAAGTAGTACCCTGTTTGGAGGGTTCGGCCGAGATCGCGTGGACACTTCCGGCGGCAGCTAGGAAGACATAGAATCCTATTATGGATTAACTGGCCGTTAGTAATCGCACAATTCGGCTCGAATTTGGGTATGATAACCACCTAGGAATACTCTAGTGTGGTTTTGAGGTTTGGCCGAGATCGAATGAGCAAAACGACTAAAAACGTAAAATCCGCGTTTCCCCGTATAACGGCGTTATTGCTCATCCGATTGGGACGAAATTTTAGGAGGATAATGCCAGCGACTTGAGGATTTTGACACCCATCGCTCAATAAGTTTTTAAGTTATTGACGATAGCGTCCTTGGACCAATTGGAAAGTAAAAAAGTAGATGGTCGTTTCCAAATATCGCCCTGAAGCGTGCCGGGGTTCGTCTGCAGGTTGCGACGGTCGCTGCAGTGAATACCGAGCGCAGGGAAGGCAGACCCAGGCGAGATCGGCCGCGTTGTGGGTGACATTGGAAACATCGGTGAAATTAGTCTTGAATTGGCAGAGTCGCGGAAATCGTTCTCGGACGGTATCGAGATCAATGTCGAAAAAGATACTGTGGAGGCTTTTTTTATTTGCCCGGCCGACGTCGATTAAATTTGTAACCGTAGCGGGTTTTCTGTTTAGATTGGAAAGGTAGGTGAATTTGACGGTCATCGGATTGAACGGTCAATCTAACGGTCTCAGGCATATACGTAGGTACAAGACGACGTCTAGGAATATACTGAGTGTTCTGAAATCCTGAAGCTCGCTCGAAGGGTGGAATACGACATCGTCCTCATTAAGTGTCGGAATTTTAATTTCATATACATATTTGTCTTTTTTTAATTTTAATACTAAATACTCGATTGTATCAAATTCCTATGAAACCATATAATCAGAAATATTTAAATAAAATAGACCGTTTGGATTTTTTTTGTTAACAATGGCCACTGAATAGATGTAAGAACCAATGTTAGTATCATATATGATTATATAGGGTGTTCCACTTAAAACTTCGCACCTGGAAAACATCGGAATTAAAAAAAAAACAAAAAAAAACCTGAGACACGTTGATTTTCTTTTCAAGGGGGACACGTGATATGATGTCGTAAGTTTTGGTGTCTTGGAAGCTACCCTTAGGGGCAAACTTTAAATGGCACGCTATGTTGTGTGACACCTCATGTGTGACATTTCTTCTTATAGTACCCGTAGAATTGCTGTATCTTCATTATTTTCTGACTAATGTTATTGCAAAATAATGGTCTCTGGAATAAACAATTTGAATAAAATTTAAACTATTTGATGGATAGATCTGAAATTTGGAGGGTTTATAAAGTATCACAATACTCAACTTTTCATGCATATAACATAGTTGTAGGTGGATTTTTACACGAAGACTTATTGCAATTTTTATTTTTCCCTTATTTTGCAAATTTCTAAGCAACAAATTAATTTATCAACTTTTATAAAATGCCACTTTAAAGCTTGATTTATATTTCAAGTAATGATTACTTTATGTTTTCAATCGGATATAAACTGCAATGGTAGGCAAAAATAGCGAAAATTTGGATTTTTTGCACTTAATTGTTAATAAATAAAAAACTTCAACGAATCTCACGCAGGAAAGTGGTAGGATTTCTTCCTATAGGTCAATATTACCTAAAACATTTATCAGATACCTGGATAATTTTTTGTCCTGGTAAATTCATATTTCCCTGGTCTATTAAAGAATAAGAATAAATATCAATGAATGAAAGAATATTATTTTATTAAGTGATCAAATTGGTTTCCCTCCGCTTCCATGCAATAATAAAATGCTCCACTTCCGAACGAACATATTCGAGCGTTACCTGACGACATTCTCGGTTGTGTTGCATAAATTATCGACTCTAAGTGCTCCATAGAAAAAAGTCTAAGGGCATTAGATCTGGCTGGGAGGCCACTCAATTAAACCTCTGCGTCCTATCCAGTGATTTGGAAATTTCTGATTAAGTAAATCACGCACAGCTACAGCATCACCATCCTGCTGAAACCACATATCCTCTTCTGGCAAAGCGATGCCATTTTCCAATACTTCCACAATCATCGGGTATATATTCGTTTCCAGTAGATTCAGATACATGTTTCCATCCAAATTTCCCGGTAGGAAGAAGGGCCCTATGGGGTGGTCTCCCAGTATGCCCGCCCAAACATTCAATATCCTCGGATGCTGCGTGTGACTTCCATGAAAAATGCGTGGATTCATCATTCCAGTAGCAGCAATTATGGCGGTTGACTCGACCATCCAGTTGGAACGTACATTCATCGGAAAAACAGATTGAGTACAAAAAATTTGGATTCCTTCGAGCACGATCACTCATTTCTTCACAAAACTGCAAGCAGTGATCAGGATCGTCTTCATTAATCTCTTGTATCAAATTAATTTTATATGGGTATACTTATGGATTTTTAAGATTCGGGTAGGTGCAAAAATTCCTAAAGCATTTGCGAGTTTCCTGAGATTCAAATTTGGTTCCATTGCGATGTGTCCCAAGACAGGTACCTGATTACTCTCATTACGTACGAACTATTCACGTTGATGCTTTCTGTTTGTAACCGATTTAGTTTCCGAAAATTTATGCACGTACCGATGCGAAGTGTTTTTGTCAGGATGACGATAATTAAAAATCTGTGCTACCTTTCGTGCACTGTCATTATTCTTGTAGAACAAACTAATTATTTCCACTGTTTCAGCAATTAATTATTTCAGGAATTGGAATTCAATTGACTTTGTGATGATTTTAAGGGATATTGTCTCGACAAGACAAGCCGAGACGATATTGTCTCGGTTAAAGTACAACAGATAAAAAAGTTGAACTGATAAGAGTGCCAGAAAAACGAAATATCAAAACAATTTTTTTTATCGAGAAATTGTTGAAGAATGTCGTCAGATAACGCCTGAATGGTTTGAAATGTTCGTTCGGAAGTGGAGTACAGTTATTATTATTGTATAGTATTGTAAGTGGAGGGAAATCAATTTGAACATTTAATAAAAATGGGAAGTTTAAAATGAAGAGGAAGTGTCACTCAACATAGGGTGCCATCTAAAGTTTAAGGATATTTTAAACCCCTGCCTAAGACACCAAAACTTACGCCATCACGTGTCCCCCTTGAAAAGAAAATCGACTTGTCTCCGGTTTGTTGTTTTTTATTTAATTCCGATATTTTCCAGCTGGGAAGTTTTAATTGGAACACCCTGTATGTCGAAAGCATTGCTTAAATTATATATTTCAGCTGCAAAAACGTAACATGTACATTACATTACATTATCTTATCTGAAATAATAATCTGAAATAATAATAATATTATGTACCTACTTTGCCAGTAAGTAGATAACGATTAAATTTTTACCATTTTCATTAAATAACCTTGATGAATTTCTATCAATGAGAAAGAAGTATATAAATTATTTCCTGTTCAGTTCAGTTACTTATTGTTCGAGGTCAGTACTTATATCTCTACAATAAGCACGCTCCATATTTATCAACTTGTTCAGAATCTTCCATAATATTATTATTTTTTTACGTCAATAATCATCACTAGAACATTATACATATAAATAATCTGGTAAATCTTTTCGGTCAAGGATTCCATTATTATTTTTTAATTTAACCCATTTAGTAAAAGTAGAGCATAGTATTTTGTCCACACGTGTCTGGTTACGAGTAATTAGTCCAAGTAAAAACCTAAATTCGTAGAAAATTGTTGTTAATTGTAGTTGTCATTCAGAGAAATTGATATGTTGGAATTCATTTCAAGTGGTTTTTATTTTCCATACTACAAGTTTAAAATGAAAAAAAATGGATTTACTTACCTGTAATTAAAAGCTATGTCAGCGAAGTATTTCCTGCGTTCTCGATAAACTGGATCTGTAAATCCAGGGTGATCAGCATCCAGTTCAGCACCATAAGAAAGGATTTGATTAGCAAAACGGTCCAAGTCTCTTATGCGCCTTGGGAACCATGGAACCGAATCTGCGTAATTAACAGTACTGTATTAAAGACAAAGTTATTTGAATAAATAGGTAATGATCCCGAGATTTGCACAAAAATTTAAAACGGGAAGAGAAATGTGAAACTGGTGTTAAGTTAGAAGAGAACGGAAAAATAATGATGATCGAAATTCGTATATTGAAGAAATACCTTCTTGCTCTTTCAGTTTCAGATACATTTCAATTAAAATATTTTATTTTTTAAGCGTTAAATTAAAAAATGTCAGTGACAGAAAACTGAACACCAAGTTACGTCCCAAGTAATTGCAAGTACCAAAGCGACAATCATGTGTTCGGCTACCAATGATCAGCACTATCCATATTAATATGGTTTATTCATCTAAGTGGGGAATGATTTTTTGATAGTAAAGTGGTCGAATAACGTTTTTGGAACCTTTTTGGTACCAGTTCTTCATGAAAAGTTATTGAATCACAAATATTAGGTGTTCAGTTTTCTGTGCCATCTGATATACAGGATGTCCCACTAGGAATCGTCACAATCGATATCTCGGAAGTACTGATCCGATAAATCTGAAAATTTGGCTACCTAACAAAGGCAGTAGGGCCAACACAGCTAAAATTTTTATCACTTCCGGTTATACCGGAAGCCAACATTAACTTTAATGGGACACCCTATATATTATTGCATTTTTTGATTCTGCGTGAAATTTGAGAGTTCCTTTATTATACAGACTGTCTACTATAAGAGGGCCACTCCTATGTATCTCGCTTAATAAACGACGCGCGTCAAAAATCTTTATATGTTTTTTGTTCCATTTTTTTGAGGCCTTTATGCTCGTAAAAACAAATTTGAGATCCATGGCCAACTATATGAGTAATCATAAAAAAAACCGGAAAAGTACCGAAAGTTTAGGGTCGTCTAACTTTTTTATTTTAAGAGATAGAGAAAACTTATTTTAAGAAAATTTCATGGCAAAATTGATATCTTTCACCTGGTATAAACAGATTTTGGAACTATCGTCTGTAAATTGCAGCGCCCTCTACGCGGGCAAAAAAAAATTGTCATCGAAGTAGGCTATGTCCAAAAAATAATTGCTTGTTCTTTCCTCTTTCATGCGATTTACTACATGTCGCCTTTATCTTTTATATTTATTACATTTTTTTATAATTTTGATATAAAATAAGATAAAAATTTTCGTGTTGCTTATGTTAATGTAAAAATTTGTGTTAAACTTAATAACTACAAAAGAATTAATAAATATAATGTACTTCTTTTAAGCAAAATACAGATTTTCTTATTACTTTATTATATGTGGTATTGGTTTTTGCATTAGAGAGAATTAAGCCTTCAACATTGTTCTTTCACAGAGAAAGTAGCTTACGCTAAATCTTGCAAGCTGTAAAAACAAATGTGTTACCCCTTTGACCCCAGTACTGTCATCATTTGGCAAACTGTTTATTGTTATAGTTTATATGTAACTGTTGGCTTGAAAAATGTTACAGTTAATTGTTATTTGAAAAACTATAATTTTGAAGGTGTTATGAAATAAAAAATGTATGTCATTTGAGGAAGAGGTAAGCTCTAATTCTGTAAGTAGTTACATTTATTATTTTTTTATATTTGGTGTGTTTAAAAAAATTTCTACATTAACATAAGCAACACGAAAATTTTTATATTTTTTTTATATCAAAATTATAAAAAATGTAATAAATATAAAAGATAAAGGCGACATGTAGTATATCGCATCAAAGAGGAAAAACAAGCAATTATTTTGTGGCCATTGCCTACTTCGATGACAATTTTTTTTTTGCCCGTGTAGGGGGCGCAGTAATTTACATACGATAGTTCCAAAATCTGTTTATACCAGGTGAAAGATATAAATTTTGCCATGAAATTTTATTAAAATAAGTCTTCTCTATCTCTTAAAATAAAAAAGTTAGACGACCCTAAACTTTCGGCACTTTTCCGGTTTTTTATAATTTCTCACAAAGTTGGCCATGGATCTCAAACTTGTTTTTTACGAGCATAAAGGCTTCAAAAAATGCAACAAAAAACTTATAAAGATTTTTGACGTGCGTCGTATAGTAAGCGAGATACATATCCGTCTTATAGTAGACAGCCTGTATATTCCCTATATATATTGAGATATCTATTAATTTTTAAAGGAATATTTGACAGATGCAAGGGTCCGCGGAGATGCTAGTAACTCTTTTCAAGAGCGTGATATCAAATCGATTTTTAGTACCTGTTGTATACGAAACACTAAATCATGGTATACCTACAAATTAAAACATTTAATACTAGGTATTTCATTTTTGTTGTTACATTTTAATAATTTCAAACAGCTATAACTTTGTTAACTTACATGGAACACCCTTTTTACTCTGCCGTATGCAGACTGAAATTTCCTCTCCAACCATATATAGCATTGTTAGGGTTTGCAATTTTCTATTTTTTGGACAGTTTTTCTCGTATCAGACCTGTTCTCAAATTGGCCATGACCAGAAACACTCCAAAAACAATTAAAGTAACTTGACATTTGTCAAGTTAGTCGTCAAATTATTGTTATATCTGTACCTAATAGTTTTTGCCAAAAATTTAAATATAAATGCCTAGGGATTATTTAAATTATTATACTAATGAGGATTATTTTAATTTGTTTGTTATTTGTGGACAATGTGCAAAGCAGCAAATTCTCTACATGTTCTTGAAATTACTTTGTCACATTGTCCATAAATAACAAACAAATTAAAACAATTCTCATTAGAATAATTTAGACGATCCCCAGGCATTTTTATGAGTATTTTTGGTCATGGCCAATTTCTGATACGAGAAAAACTGTCCAAAAATAGCAAATATCTCTAAAAGTAGTAACGGCAACCCCAACAATGCCTATATAACTTGAAAGGAAATTCTAATCTGCATACGACAGAGTAAAAAAATACAGGGTGTTCCATTTAAGTTAACAAAGTTACAGCTGATTGAAGTTATCAAAATGTACAGCAAAAATGAAACATCAAATGTATTAATTTGTTGGTATACCATAACTTATTGTTATCTGTGCCCTTTACAGGTTCCAAAAATCCACTTGATATTACGCTCCTGAAAAGAGTTACTAGCATCTCTGCGGACTGTTGCAGCTGTCAATTTTTTTTTTAATTAATATCTCAAAATTTATTACTTCTAGGTATGGGGAATATTTAATAGTGACCCTCAAATTTCACGTAGAATACGAAAATGCGACAATATATAAGGTGTTTCATTTAAAATACGTGTCACAAAGTTCTAAATATTTTAGCTATGTTGGCCCTACTGCCTCTGCTAGGTTGCCAAATTTTCAGATTTATCGGAACAGAATTTTCCGAGATATAGATAGTGGCAATTCTTGGTGGGACACCCTGTATAGATAAAAATTTAATAATGTTGCTTTTGCTACCTATGCGTGTTCATTTTAAGTAGGTACTAAGAATTAGACACCCAACTCTATAATTTAGCTTGCATGCACCCAAATGTGTTTATTTGCGCGCCCAATTATGTCTATTACCTTTGTTATCCTTGTAATCTCGCGAAATAATATTTAAATATTCGCTTTTCTGCTTGATGTCAAAAATGGCGTCTCCAAGGTTACCTCCTGGGGAGCACTCCACCATGAACTCGTAATTGCCTGGAATTTTTGCCGACGGTCTCGATTCAATGTGCAAGAGGTTAACGTAATGTTTTTCGAAAATGGCCAGGTATTTCGCCAAAATTCCGACTTCCTCTGCAGGCGGGGCAAATAAAAGACATGTGCTTTTCGCGGAATCTCTGCCGATTTTTATGTAGTTTCCACCGGGCATCAACCTAGGCTGTAAATAAATAAAACTTATTTCGAAAGTCAAGTAAATTTATCAGATATTTGTGTATCGTTGAAGACACGCCTTGTAGTTGAATATATTTCAAGGTTTGTAAAAAGCGAAAAAAGGTTTCTCGTTTAATTTGCGAATAAAAATTTACGGATTTCGTTTAGTTTGTATAACCTTATGCAAATTAAAAAGCAACTTGCATATGTTTATAAAGGTAAACTGGTTCCTTGCTGGAGTGTAGATAACCTATTCGAAATTTAAGGACAAACGAACATGATGAGACATAGGGTATTCTGCCAAAACTTCTCCGCTTCGTGTCGTTCATATAAGTTTTTGCGTGCAGAAAAGGCACGTGTTAGGAACAATTTTTACGAGATTCATATCAGGTAACAAAAAAAATGATAATTTATTCAACAATTTCTAATTAAACTTGAGAGAAAGGACTATACAACAAAAAATTACATAATAATATGTAATAGGAAATTAAATTATTTGTCCATAATATTTATAACAAAAGAACAGTTATTGACATTTTGCAAATTGATTGCAGATCCGGTCGGTTCATTTAATGGGTGGCTTATGGTACGGCTTGATGAACACTGACTTAGCGCGGAAAGGCAATTAATATTATAGCTTGGTGAAGGTTGATTTAACTCAGGACAGTTGTTCAAATGGGTCGATGAAGGTTGACAACTCAAAAAGGTAGTTGTTTATGTGGCTTGATGAAGTTTGATTTAACGCAGAAAGGCAATAGCTATTGACATGGTTTGATGAAGGTTGACTTAACTCAGAAGAGCAGCTGTTAATATGGCTTGATGAAGGTTTACTTAATGCAGAAGGCCAGTTGTTCGTGGCCAATATTTTATTTGCCATATCCTTTTTTTGATTTGTCGAATCATCAATGTATCTCTCGGCGACAGTTGTCCATTTCCAGCCTCCGAGTCCCTTGACATTAGTGATTTCCTGCTCCAGAATCGGCCAAAATGGTATCCGAGGAACGACGGAAACTGTCTCGTATACTGTTGTAGATTTTTCAATTGTAGATGCAGCTATTTCCGAAGGCATTTTACCGAATGAATTTATTCCAACACTTTGAGTATTGCATGCTCCTTTTCTATACTGCACAAAAAAACGCTTGTGTAGAGTGTATGGTTTTCACAAATTTGCTTATTTATTTTATGATAGAGTTGTTAATAATGTCCCATATTTGTTTCATTGGATACTACAAAGATTCTTGAAGTATTGTTTTTACTGTCAGGAATTTTGACGACCGCCAAATTTCCTTTATCCTCTATCTGATTAACCATTATCTTGCAAAACTCATAGCGCCTGCAAGCTCGGGCTAACACAAAAATAGTGGCACTTTTATAAATTTCATCAGGTGTTTCTTCCACAAATCTGGAAACCACTTTTGTCAAAAATTTTGGCCTAACGATGTTAGCTTGAAATATTGACACATCCAAGTTCTTTTTGACTTCAAGGACACTTTTTAACATAGAGTACTTACTCCATAAAGTATTTGACTGAAATGTTTTTCGTAAATTTGCAAAATAGGCTAGGAACGCCTCCTTCTTGATACTATTTGTCCCTTTGTTGCGGTATTGGCACCAGTATTCAAAATGTTTATATTGTTTCTCATATTTTTGTTCAGATTTAGTGGGCAATATATTTAAACTTGCAGAGTTTGCGGCCTCTAGGATGGAACCTGGTAGCTCCTCGCCAGAGCTGCTCATTTTAAGCTTTTTATGATTTGATTGGAAGAAAAATTTCTTTCTTCTTGAAAAACTGCCTTAATACAACCTATTCCAAAATGCAGTCTCCCTTCCACTTACAACGATTTAAGACCTACAAGCATTCTTCCTACATTATCTAAAATCTTAGAGAAGGTCGTTCAAGTACAATTAACAGAGTTTTTGAATCAAAATGATATGATGTCTGATTGTCAAACAGGATTTAGAAAATCTCATAGTACAACCACTGCACTTTTGAAGGTAACTGTTGATATTTTTCGTTCTATTGATAATAAACATATGACTGCTTTGGTTCTATTGGATTTCACAAAGGCTTTTGACACAGTCAATCATGAAGTTAGTTGAACATTAAGATTCTAGGTTATGCTGATGATACGCAACTATATTCCTCTTTTAACAACAATAATGCGCAGGAAGCTGCTAACAACATTAATATTGACCTAAAAGCTATTTATGAGTATTCAGTAGCTCATAATTTAAAAGAAAATTAGCGCAAATCGTATTTTATATTATTTGGTAAACTGAAAAATGTAGATCTAATAATTGACCCATTTTTAAGGTTTCGAGAACATGTCAGCAGCTTAATCAATAAAGCTTACTGCGTTTTAAAATTGCTTTATTATAATAAGCATGTCTTAACATTTAATTTAAGGTAAATGTTATGTGAATCCTTAGTTCTTTCGTTATTTAATTATGCTGGTATTATCTATGGTCATTACATTGATTCCATCACTCGTGATCGTATCCAAAAGGTTCAGATCTCTTGCTGTCGTTTAGTTTTCGGATTAAGAAAGTTTGATAGAATTTCTGAGAATATAAAAATTTTAAACTGGTTGCCTATGAAAAATTCACCTGGTAAACTTTATCCTGGTAAACTTTATCCGTCGTTTATTATTAAATGGCAAACCTTTTTATCTTGTTTCAAAAATACCACATCGTCATACCTTTCACAATGTTAATATAAGATCAGTTAAGAACTTAGCTATGCCAAGACACTATACTTCCATTTTCCAGAGGTCATTCTCCTATAATTCTGTTATTAAATATAACAAACTTGACAGTGAACTGAAAAAATTGAGCTGTGCATCTTTTAAATACAAATTGAAGCTTATTGGCATACTTGTAATTGTAAATTGGCCAGATTAAAGGTTATATGATTTGTAAGGTTTTTTATATTTATTGTTTTAGGAAGCCAGTGATTTTATAAGGAGAAACTTCAAAGTAAAAGATGATATTATATTCGACACATTCAAAAATAAATTGTTGGTACCACAATAACGGTCACTCCCATATTGCTGCATATAAAGTAGATAAGCTGCGTACTATGAAATTTGACGAATTATTATAGTCATTGCACTGTTAGAACTAGTTTGTTTAGGATCTTTCAAAGAACATTTACAGCGTCAGAGGATTACAAATAATGAATAGACAGTTGTGACGGTGCAAGGTTGGTTATTAAAAGCTGTAAAGAGCTTAAAGCAGACCAAATGTGTTAGGAAGAAGAATAATGTTAAATAAATCAGATATCTATAAGCATCCTTGAAACAACCAGGAGATAATTCCTGTTATTTAATAACTATAGCTAATTCCTAGTTATTTTGAGAAAACCATCTAGAAAGTTTTTTCTTCAACCGTCTGTTAATTTTGCTAAATTTTGGTTTGTAAATATAAATTAATCTCCATGTTTGATAACAATTATATAATAAGAATGATCTTCCTAAAAAAAGGAAGGAAGGAAGGAAATTTAATGGGTTTTATGGATTTGAAGAATGTAGTACAATCACAAATAATTGTTTATTTTTTCAAAATACAAAACAGTAAAAAAAAATTTAGAGTACTTTACATAAAAAAATAATTTTACTGTTATTAAAATTCAAATCGACGCATATTATTGTTTCTTGATAATTAATCATAATTGTTTCATAAACTTAAACATATTTGGCTTCAAAATAATGTTTATTACCGATTAAGAATCTAGTATTAAAAAAAATAATAATAAAAAACTTTCTTCAGAGAAGAAAAATAAAGTCATAAAATCTAAATATTAATGAAATTAATAACAACTAATTCACATAAACAACAGCTGAAGATAATGAAACATTTTGAAATAATTATTGCCACTTAATAAAATATTCATTAATCTGCGCTTGGAACAAACTGATTGTGAGAGTGTTTCTAACTCAAATGTAAAACAGTAACTGCAATTTAACTATTAGGTACACGCGTTTATGGCACTTAAAATCCTAATTATTTTACATAAATATGAAAACTAGATTTGAAACCAATCACCTAGCATTTTTTTCCCAATATCTACAAGTACTTACATCACAAATTACTTCTACCGAAACACCATTATAAATTTCCGTCCGCATTTTGTATTAACACTTTAATTACACTTACTACTCACAACTGCGATTGACGCATACCAAAAACACAATGAAATAAAAACACCAGTTGATTTTCTATTTATGCAAAGGTAATATGTGATGAATAAGTAGATTCGAAGAAATCCCTCGGCCATTCATTAAATACGTAGGTACTGAGAAATATTCCCCTTTAACTTAATTAATAATTAATTATATAAAGCAACGTTAAAACAAAATTGCATCATAGGTCTTTTTTTTTTGTTTAGATAGGACTGTTATCGGTACCAGTGTTGCGTAAAATTAAAAAAAAGTGTGTGCGGTTTTCCCGTCAAAGTCATACTTAAGATCGTATAGTATTTGGTAGACCGAGAATTCTCTGTTTTTGCGTTTCATTTGTTACAACATTAAATATTAGATAAGTCTAGTAAGACTGATGTTATTATAAAATTATAAAAAAAATTATAAGAATAAGAGAAATAATAGAAATAAATATTTTTCGTCTAGTAAGTAAAATAAGTTTTTATAGTATTATTTCTTTTTTTTACCTTTCTAAAGTCGTTATTAAGGTTATTTTAGTTATTTTCCTTTAAAAACAAAAATGGTAAATATTGAACAGCCCTTGCTTTTTTTAAGTTAATAATAAATTTTTTTAATTTTAGACATTTACAGTCCATGTTTTAATCATAGATAAGAATTTAATTTTAACGATTAGTCTAATAGATAATAGTGCCTCAAAATGAATATTCTGCTTATTTTTCAGCAAAATATTTTAAAATATACATATCTACGTTGATAAGTTTGCTTTATTATTTAATAATCCTTAATGACAGTCAACAAAACATTTAAAAGGTGCGTTCTGATACTTTACAGGACCAAACCGTTAAATAATTATTTACTATGTAATATTTTTATCTCGTTGGAGCAGTTTCTGTTTTATTTTATATGCAATTTTGCAAGAATTAGATAAATGATATACTCCACTACTGAAATAGAAAGAATAGTATCTTGATCCGCAGATCTTTTAATGTGAAAATTTTAAGGTTTCTGTCATCACTTACACATGAACTTATCCTTCTTATCCAAAAATCGAAATCTGAGTTAAATTTGAAATTATTTATCCGAAAATTGATTTTCTTTAATTCATATAAACATTGGATTATTCATTGAGACATGTTCACTTGGGATAAACAATATATATTTTATCCCGTCACTAAACATTTCTCTCACCATTCATAGAATTTCTGCTTGAATTTTTACAAATTCAGTTCTCAAGCTGATTTCATCTGAGTTATAGACCAAAAAGAATTTACTGGGGCTGTGATCTTGTTCATAGGCGGTTATTCCCTTTTTTACTTCAAACATATTTATTATTCATGTGAGAGCTAAAAATAGAATATGTATTATGTATTTTTGAAAGAAATCTTTCCATTGTTGATAATACAGTTCGAAATCATTTAAAAAAGACCGTTATTTAAAAAAGTTAAAAATGTAGTTATTGCGTAGAAGAAATTCATATTAGGGATACAATGTTTCGTTCAGATATGGCGTTAGTTAATCTAAAGTAAATCTGCTTTTCTTTTTTTTTTTCGTATACGATTGCAGTAAAAGTAGAGAACAAAATATACGCACATCTATACACCGTATAAATATAATAAGTAAGACTGCTGTATGATTTGTCACTAACATATCCTTGACTTAGATTTTTATATTTAAATGATTATTTATCATACAATACAAAACATATTTTATAAACAAAATGATATGGATGTCTAAATCTTATTAATTATCTAGTCTTTATGACCATTTCCTAAATTCTTTACTAGATTTTTTGGCATACGTTGTTTAAAATAGTAGAAGTGCATGGATATACAAACGTTGTTTTATTGATTTTATTTGATAATTAATTTATTGTCTAAAGTAAGTTACAAACGACGAATATATGTATTTGAAATCATTACTTAAATCGGGCCATTTCGAGTTAAAGAGAAATATTTACAATTATTTCAAGTACTATTTACCTCTCGATTTATCTATTACATATTTTATTTATATTGTTTATATTGTATTATTCCAACAAATAAATTGAAATTTTAAATTAAATGTTAAAATTGCTAGAAGAAAAAACGTAGGTACAGTTCCTTAAGGAAAGTAAAGACAATAATTCAATGGTACTTATATTACATACCGGAGGGTTCTTCACGGTAAATGGCCTATTAAAATCAGCTGAAGAAACTTATACTAAGTGTCCCATTTTTTTTGTTACATTTTGAAAACTTAACACCGACAAAACTTTTCAAATTCAAATGGAATCCTGTATTTTTTTACACCATATTATACAGGCTATAGGTAAGATGCACATCTTATGTTCTTTCTGTGTTCCGAAAAGCAAGTGAAACGCTTGCATCTGTCAAAATTTAAAAAAAATGTCGATTATCTCGAAAACGGTTAGATTTAGGTACAGGGAAGGTTCAACATATCTAATTAATTTTTAATTTATCTTGTCGAAAATGCACTAATATATAGGGTGTCCCATTTAAAATAACGAAGTTGACAATTACTTCCGGTATAACCGGAAGTGCTACGTTGATGGCATTATTTTCACTAAAGAGATATCTGATAACCCCCTATAAAAAATTTCAGTCAAGTTATCTTTGGTTTCTCCGAAACGTTTAATAGGCCGCTTACCGTGAAGAACCCTGTACAGGGTGCCCCGAAATTCATGCAACAAAATTTGGTAACAGGTTCTTAGGACACATTTTGGGGACCCGTATTTTTTATTTTTGCCAAGTGGCCCCCTCTTTCGGAGATACAGCCCCCTGAAGTCCGCCCCTAAGAATCATCTTTTTTTTATATATCACAACCCTGTTGTACGAGAATCACTAAATTTGGTACACAGGGGTTTTATGACATGTGGAATCTGATGAAGCAACGTTTTTTTGAGGGGAACCCCTTTAAGACAATTTTTCGTGGGCCCCCTTGTCTTTGGAACCTAAAAAATTTGGTCGCATATTTAAATTTCTTAAAAATTATTAGTCCACTAGAAAGCCATTAAATTTAGAAACTTTTTGTCTCTTTATACTTTTTTCGTAAAACGCAATATTTTCAAGAAAAGTGTCAAAATGTGATCGAATGCATATCATGATTCGACATTTTCCTCAAAAACATTGCGTTTTACGAAACAAATATCAAGAGACAAAAAAGTTTCTAAATTCAATGGCTTTCTAGCTAACTAATAATTAAAAAAAAAAAATTTGCGACCAAATTTGTCTGGCTCCAAAGACAAGGGGGCCCACGAAAAAGTGTCTTAAGGGGGTTTCTCGCCAAAAAGCGTAGCACTGTGAGATTCCACATGTCATAAAACCCCTGTGTACCAAATTTAGTGATTCTCGTACAACGTGGTTTTGAGATATAATAAAAAAACTTCTTAGAGGCAGATTTCAGGGGGCTGTAACTCCGAAAGACGGGGCCAGTTGGCAAAAAGAAAAAATACGGGTCCCCTAAATTTGTCTTAAGAATCTATGACCAAATTTTGTTGCATGAAATTCGGGACACCCTGTATATTAATGTATATTGTAAATCACCTACTATCTACATTTTAATGAATAAAGATTATTCTACTATTTACCGATTCTTAATTTCGAAATATGAAAGTGTCTCATTGTTATAAATTATATATTAATTACAAAAAAACAGAGTTATTCTTATAACTTTTTTATTTTTATATTTAAAGTCGATTATAAATGTAAATTATTCTAAATTATTAATTGGTTAGTAATATATATACGTATTTATTTATAGTATAAGTAAGGTTCAACTAAACTCAAATATATTTAGGTAACTCGTTTCATTATTACGTAATACAAAATTCTTCCATACTCTCAACAGTTCAATATTCTCTTATAAAAAAATTTCAAAATTTTATCAGAAAACTTGGGAAAATATGGCAGTTTAAAGCGAAACCAGATAAGACAGGCATGCATTTTCTTTAACAAAAAATAATTTGGTTACTGTAAAATCTAAATAATCGGTCAATCAGAAAATGACTCACAATATTTGGTGGGCTTCCTTCCGGCGAAATCGACTTATCACTTTTTTTATGGTCAATATCGGTAGGTTTGGACATCATCTTGGCGATATTGCGACTTAGATACACGCTTGAAGACTTAAAACAGTCGACTGGTTTGGATTTTGAAACGGCTTTACTTAAACAAACTTGTTTTTGAATATGTATAAGTAACGCTGACTTAATGATATTCTCTTATCATTAATTTGTATACTAAAACGTCTTTTCATTGAGAAATTATTTGTTTATACGTAATGAGATTTCATGTTGCAAAATTCAAAGGAAAGCACATAAAGGTTAAATATTATCTATGTAACTCTTTTTACTTAATGGATATAAATATTTATACAAATAGATATCAGAAGTAAATAACCAACTACGCGTTTAAAACGAATATTACTTACTTACCTGTCGATTATTTTTTAATATTCCGATCATTAAAATCATTGAGTCAAGTTCAAGAATTTATTTTCCGGGAAAGCAAATATTTTTTTTATTTTTATCAAACGTTTTGTGGCCTTCTTTCAGAAGGACGTTGATGAACAGCACAGTGACGGTCTTCAAGTCGATGGTTAAATAAACAAATACATTTTTAATATTGTGCTACTGAAATTTAAAATATAAAGTAAGATTTTATCTTGTTTGACAAAAATGTCAGGGATGCTACATAGTTTATAATACAAACCCTGTGTTCGAATACAATAACTGTATGTTTTGATTTTCTTCAAAAACTGAATCGTTATTGTGATATTTAATGCAAGAAGGTTTTCCGTCTTGGGATTTTCCACATCCAAGTATCATCATTCATTAGATACCTATTAATTTTAATTCATTACAGTATTTTTTCGTGCACTGTTTATTCAGAAATGGGTCAAATGAATCTTCATAGAATTATGGATAACCCTCTAGATATGGAACTGCATCTTTTACATAAATCATATCTTCAGATTTATTGCAAAATTTTTCCAGTATTGGAGAACAGCAAAAGATATCTAATTTTGATTTCTCAACATTGGCACTTTAAAAAATCACCAAACAACAAATTAGGATGTTGCATTGCATTATTTGTCTTTTTGGATGAAGAAATTGATTTTGCAATCAATTCTGTAAACCCTAAAAGGGTATTCTTTTATTAAGTCGGTCCCAAGGAATTTTTTTATAGTTTAGTGCATAGAAAAGTACTAACCGTACACTCGACGCAAACTTAAGCTTTAAACTATTAACCATAAATGACGACAACAATAAGAGAAAACAAAAAATGAAGTACATAGTAGAATAACAAATATGTTATATAACTGTGAATAAATAGAATGTAAGAAAAATTTGCAAAACAAAACTAACATTCTTATCGACTAGAAAAAAATATACAGGGTGTTTCAATTAAAACTTCCTACCTGGAAAATATTGGAATTAAAAAAAAACAAAGAAAACCTGAGGCAGGGGCATAAAATACCCTTATACTTTAAATGACTGTACTGTCATTAACCGCTACTTGTAACTTTGCGATAAATGTAATACGCGACGGGTCAAAAGATCCTAGATCCGGTCGTCCGGGCAATGACAATACATTTTTCCGACTCGGCAAAACTTACATTATTGTAATTATAGAAAATAAAATTAATCTTAACTCGAAGTCTCTATTACTTAACACCAAATATACCTCTACCCAAAAAGACAATGGCGATCCTGCCAGGATAATCAGAAGGTTCCAAGATGACAAAATATTGGAAGATTCCAGAATGTAGTGCATTTTCAAAAAAGTTTTAAATCAAGCGAAATGGGGAACCAGAATACAAAAGAAGAAATTTTAGTGAACCAAAATAACGGAAGCACTAATCCGCAAATTTATTCAGCGATAATTATTTCTGGAACAATTGTAATTTTGTCGCTACTAGTGATCTGCGGTTTTGCAATATTCTTTTGCACAAAAGTGTTTAAAAAACGAATTACTGCAACTCTAATCAAGGACATAATGCACAGGCAACTTCCACCGTTTCGAGTAGGTACATACCTAGTGAAAAAAGAAGCAGTGAAAATAAAGACAAAATATTTAAATGCAAAAACACTGTTAAAATTAAGTGAAGTGGAGTTATAATTCACATCAAAACACCATCCAATATGGAAATTTAGGCGAAAATATCCCACAATCAACCAACATCTACCTTCTACCAGGTCGGCACCATCGGCGTCATCTTCATCCGACCCGAACATCGTCACAAGCGTTTGCAAGTAAGTGAAGTACAGGCTGGTCCATTTTCGGTGGGATTTCAGGGTATCTCAGAAACTACTAAATATATGATAAATCTGACACCACGTTCTCGAGCTCGATTTTCATGGCAAACTCGACTGTCAAATCAGAAATTTGCTATCTTCATTTGTTTCTGAATTACAGGGCGTTTCTCGTTATTGTGACACTTTTAAACATGTCTGTATCTCAGCTGTTAAATAAGTTAGAGTTAAAGTGAAAACTGCTCAAGACTAATTCTTTAGCGTAGAATTGTATTCCGGTATTAGATTTTTAGTAGATCTTAAGATTTCGAAGTTATGACCCAAAGTAATATTTTTTTAATGGAAATCGAAGCTGACCATGGCCTAAAAAAATAGAGATTTTTTTTTGCTTTTCAGCAATATATCACATGCTATAGTTATTTTTCCAAACACAGAAGATACGGGGTGTTTTATATATAAATTCGATCCTTTTTTACATTTTAACATGGCTGGCTATGAAAATACATACAAAACTATAATTCTTACTATTACAAAACTTATATCTGCTGTAAAAATATGACGTTTATTTAAAATATATATTGCAGATAAGAAAAGACAGAGTTTTCAAATTTTTATTCCACTTTAACTGATGTTACAATATTAAACGTAAATTAAACAATGCTAAGTACCTACATCAATAAAAACTATCAAAAATGATAGCTAAATGTTCAAATTGTCGTCCCTCAACTGTCACACATTTCACGCATCTTCTGGCAACGCTTCGGGTAGCATTCATTAAATGTATATTTGAAATATTATTAAAAGGAATTTTAAATATAATGTCATTTAGAAAACCCCAAAAGAAAAAGTCCAACGGACTCAAATCAGGTAACCTAGCTGGCCATCTGATCGGTCCGTTTGTTCCTATTCACCTATCTCCTAAGATTTCGTTAGTATTATATGATCACACGAGTATATGTCGTGCATTTAAAATAAACGTCATATTTTTACAACAGATATGAGTTTTGTAAAAGTAAGAATTATAGTTTTATCTGTATTTTCATAGCTGGTCATATTAAAAAGGAAAAAATATATAATTTATATATAAAACACCCCGTATCTCCCGTGTTTGTAAAAATAACTATAGCATGTGATATATTGCTGAAAAGCGGAAAAAAATCTCTATTTTTTTAGGCCATGGTCAGCTACGATTTCCATTTAAAAAAATATAACTTTGGGTCATAACTCCGAAATCTTAAGATCTACTAAAAATCTAATACCGGCATTCAATTCTACGCCAAAGAATTAGTCTTGAGCAGTTTTCACTTTAACTCTAACTTATTTAACAGCTGAGATACAGACATGTTAAAAAGTGTCACAATAACGAGAAACGCCCTGTAACTCAGAAACAAATGAAGATAGCAAATTTCCGATCTGACAGTCGAGTTTGCCATGAAAATCGAGCTCGAGAACGTGGTGTCAGATTTATCATATCTTTAGTAGTTTCTGAAATACCCTGAATTCCCATCGAAAATGGACCAGCCTGTACAAGTGAATAAAGTGAAGTGAATAGTGTAATTATATTCTAGTTTAGCTATAAGACTTCATAATTTATGACTTCCTACCAATCTCTTCTGACAATTATAGAAGAAATTGAAGTAATTAATAAAAATTTAAAAAAGGGGACCTAACAGAGTATACAAAGCATCAAGTCTTTTAGAAGAATTAAGTCAAATAAAAAATCTGCACACAATATACATTGAAACATATAATTCTATAAGAAAAACTGTTAGTGTTGCCGATCAATTAATTATAAATGACGTAAAAACTAAAATTACATTAGTAAATGATTCCAATAACAGAATTAATCATTTACCACAACTTTGTATTAAGGAACCTAGTACAAGTACTAAACCGTTTGAGAATCCTCTAGTTTAGTTAAAACGAATGTTTCTGAAGAAGTAGTTATCAAAATTGTAGAATTAACTCCATTTTGACAGATAATTTTAAAAAGAATTTCCTTCTCTTTATTAAGAAATTCTACTGCTCTTTTGTGAGCTGCATTCAATCTAAATTTAAGTTCATTTGAATAAGCATATATACTTATTGTATATTGGTGATACTTCAGTGAAAATTTCATTTAGTAAATTTGCTATTTTACCAAAAACTAATTCGTAAGGTGAATAATTTGTATCCGAGTTATATTATTCGCAAAAACATAGTACGGTAAAAATGTATCCCAATTAGAATTTGCAGAATTTGTAACAAGATATTCATTTAATACTCTATGATTTCTCTCTAAACTCGAATTTCTTAATCAGAACTTTCCAAATCACTGGATAGGGCTCAGAGGTTCAATCTCCAGATCTAACGCCCTTATACTATTTTCTACGGGGACACTTAAAGTCGAAAATTTATGCTACACGACCGAGCTTTACCAGAATTTAAAAAGTCGTATGATGTCGTGAGCAGAATTGAAAAAGCTTTAAAATGAGATGTCACTCAACATAGGCTGTCATTTAAAGTTTAAAGGTATTTTACTCACCTTCCTAAGAGGTAGCTTCCAAGACACCAAAACTTGCTATCACGTGTCTCGCTTGAAAAGAAAATGGATGCGTCTCAGGTTTTTTTTAATCCCGATATTTTCCAGGTGGGAAGTTTTAATTAGAACACCCTGTATATTAAAATAATAATAATGATTAAATATATGTATTTGACTAGGAAAATGTTTATTTATTAAGTAGAAAATATTTGCTTCTAAATTCTAAGAATTTTTATGTGGAAATTACCTAAATAGTGAATTGATTAACTTAACAGCGTTCTGTTTAAAGCATCAATGAAAGAGTGATAAGTTTATTTTTTAATGATTGAGGAAAATTATGTTCTTCTGTTACAGGCATAATCAAATTTCAGAAGTCTCCGATTTTTCATTTTTATCCAATTATG